AACATCATGTGATTGATATCTGAAATGTGTGCTAATCCCATAAAACATGTATGGGAGCAATTACCTTTCTGTTCAATAGTGATGTCATATTGTCGTGTAAACAATTATATAGTAAATGTCAACAAGAACTGAAAACAGTGATACTAGAGAGGGGACAGACAAACTTCTGCTTGATGGAAAGCCCTGGCTATACTGACCAGATTTTGGGACACCACTGGCATATGGGTTTAGTTTGAGAAGTTTTTTTTTTCTTTGTTCTCTGGTTTATGTCCTTATATCTACCATTCACTGGGATCACTATTGATAAAATGCAACACTCAGATAACATAAGATGGAAGAATCTGTGTCCATACGGAAACCAAAGATGAAAGACAAGTTCTAGATTCATAGATATAGGCTTCTGTAACATAGAGTTATTGATTTCTTTTTGACTCATTGTCAAAAAAAATATTTAACAAGTGTCTGAGAAGTTTGAATTTAGCTCTTAATTTCTGAGGTCCATATTCTTCTACAAGACATGACCATGATTATTTTTCTTAATGAAATAGAATTACTTTTTATTTATATTTTTTCTGCAATATCTGTATTGTATTTTACCAACTATCCAAAATTACCAATGGTTCTGGCAGTTGGAAAAATTACATGGACTCTTATGATTGGGAAAACACTTTCACCTGTGTATTTTTAGAGTTAATTTTCAACGGCTATTTAATAAGCACTATTTAAGGTCCATCCATTCCATTGCTCTTGTAACGTTGTCATTCACATTTACTGATATTATTTTTCATTCTCATAGTCTGTCCCATCTGCCTCTGATTTTTAATGTAGGTAGCAAAGAGATCACAAGAATAGGAAGCTCCATGGTTTTGCTTCAGATCTAGTTTCTAATGAGAACCCAGGGAGAAAGAGGATAAAAGAACCCACACAGTTTCATTTCTCATGGCTCAATTTTCACTTGTCACATCTGGAACTTATTTTGTCTTAAGCTTCATGGCCTGATGCTTGTTTCTGATGCCAGTCTAATCCTCACTTTGAATAAACTATTTGAGTTCTCATCTTGGTAAATGTCAAAGGAAGGGAAGATATTCCGTGCACCTACAGCATCCTAAAAACCCTTGCCAAATTCATGAATCTGACTCTGCATTATCCTTCCCCAGAAGGAGAGCATAATTTCATTATCCATGAATCATCACCTCTTAGACTGTAACATCATTGTCAAAGAGCCTAATAGAACCAGTGTTCAGCTGGCTGCAAAGGGGGAGGGAGGAAGAAAGCACGGGGCAAAGCACGGGTCACTGGCACGGTCAGCAAACTGGAGAGTTCTAAAGCAAAAAAAAGGGGAGGCCTCTCTCCCTTGATAGCTCTTATATCTTCTGACCAGTAAGTAACTGATGCTGATTCTTTTAATATTAAATACTGAAATTTATTTTCCCCAACCTTAATTACAATATGTGTTTCAATGTCCTGCCAATGGATTAACACACTTAATTAAAATATCAGACTATTTGACCAATTTCGATGCATATAAACACTTTAAAATATTTCTTATCGATTTTTATTGTATAACTATTTGCTTTACATCTTTGGCACCTACTTCTAGTCCCTCAGAACCTGTTTTATGGCCCGCTTCCTAGCATTACTAAAAATGTCACTAAGTAATATATATAAAAAAAATTACACAATAGCTGTATTTCCCAGGAGAATGAACTAAGTGAAATTCAAATCTGATGAACAGATCAAAAGTACACGTTGTAAACAACGTTTACAAAGAGATTGAGAATTAAAAGCGAAAATGTGTTTGAATGGCTGTGGTTATTCTAATCAGCCACTAGAGGTCATTGCTACTCCACAGAAATATGGTTTATTGCCTGTGTCTACTTAGGTAGTTGACTCACCAAATCAAGTAAAAAATAGTTTAAATTCTTTGAAAAGATGTAATATTAACATCCTTGGAAAATACAAACTCATTGAAAATGAATATATCTTGCATTGGTATTGCTTAGAATACGGTAGCACTGGGACTATTTCCTCCACGCTGCAGTACCACTGTGCATACTGAGGCTAATAAAAATGGAAAAAACCCACATGCTGTTCAAAGCACTAAACTCCATTTTCTTTCTGTTTTGAATCCACTCTGCATTGATCCATCTCTGTTACAGAGTTCAACAGGTTAGGTTGTTTCACTGTTGTCACCTGCGATCAGATATTTCATGTAAATTTGCACTAGAAAAAAATGAATATCAATTATATTTCTCTAACAGGCAGGGAGTTTCAAATACTTATGAAAATAGATTTATGGCATGTAGTACAGAAAGTGCCATGGAGTACAGGTGAGGGCAACAACTTCTGATCAGGATAATATTTGCCATCCAATTTTGTTAAATTTGACAATAGTGAAGTAAAAATTGTCTAACCTACTGGATTTTTATATTTGTTCTTGGCAGATACTGAGAATTAGAGAAGCTTCATTTCTGAGTTGGGGCAGGGGGTGAGAAAGAACTTTTTCTTGTAATTTCATGTTCCAAATAAAACCATGTTTTACCTTCAAAGAAATTCTGTTTTCTTATTTAGTATATTTATAAGTAAAGTTAGGCATTAAAAAATGACCAGCCTTCAAAATGTTGGTCATTCATTTAATGTTAAATCACAATTTACATACCAAGTGGCTTTAAAATTTAGAAATACTTTTCAATACAGCAAACATTTTGTATATACTAGTAGCACCACAGAATCAATAATTTGAAAGAATTAAAAAAATATAACTATACCTTGCCTAAACATATTTGGTATCCATCACAAATGAGGAAAAGTTCAAGTCAAAGAATAAAAATGGGCTTTTTTCCATTTTAACACTGCATTTAATTAATACAATCATCTTTAGTACAGATAAAAATGAGGCTGACCAAAGAAAATTTCTTTTTCATATGGAATATGTATTTACTGACACTTCATAAAAAATGTAAAATTACAACTTTAGTGAAAAACATCACAGTAAGATCAGTCATCCAGTTCATATTACTGTAAGGAAGTATCTGCATTATTAATCAATTGGGAATATATGACTATTTGTCATTATTATATACTCAACAATTATTTATGGGTAAACATTGTGACTAAGATGCTTTTCTGAACTGGTATTTATTTTAAGGTTTAGCCAAACTCAAAGAACCTAGAGAAATCTATTTTGGCATTTTTTTCTTTATTGCTTATAAAATCATGATTTTTAATAATTTTTCTTCCTTGCAATTATATTTCATGGTGATTTGCCCAGATCTTTCCTCTCATCCTATGAAAAAACCACCAAACTATATAAAAATGTTGGTAAAAATAGCCATTCACTTTTTTCTTTTTTGATGCAGCAATTCTGTTTTGAAAGAACAGGGACATGGTTAAATATGTAAGGCTTGGCGAGTCAAATTAAATGAAACAGCCTCAGTGTAGTAATTCCTAATTTTTGCTCCTATAATAAACTTGTTCATTTTGGAAGACAAAAGAGAATATAGGCTAAAGATATTTTTTTCTAAAATCTCAATGGACTGTAGTTCATGTTACTTAAATACAGAGGCTATGATATTTGTGCTGCAGTCAATAAACTTTCACCAACGACATAAAAACATGCATGTAGCTTGCAGATTGCCAACAGGGTCTGTACAGAATTGTACTGATGGATGAGTTTACAATACAGATGAACACAGGGACACAATAATGTCAACAACAGCAAAGCAAAAGAGAAATATCATAGTGTTGGTCTTTTCCCCCTGAAAATTTATTTTATACATTTATTAAGGTGTTATCATAGTCCTCATTTTTAATGAGGCTGTTGGTAGAACGCATGTCTTTTGGAATATGTTCTCTTTTACACATCTGAATGAAGTGTCAGTCATTAGGGAGGACTGGTGTGTGCAGGACACATCATGAAACACTACAGGACACTCTGACAAATCCTGAACAGAAGAACAGCAAGGAGCTAATGATTCCATTAACTACATTGGGGTCTTTGAAAAAGCTGGAGAGAAATTCTGGTGAGGTCCCAGCCACAAGCACATAGCAAGATTGCTTCCCATTTGCAAATCTTATCTCTGAAAACTCCCTCATGTGAGAAGCCACGAAGAAATCTATATCCTCAAATATATATCCTATTTAATTTTTGGCTATTTAATCAACTTATTTAGGAAATACACATGTCTGTAGAAGAAACTTACAGTGAAACCTCTTGTCTGCTTTTACAGGGATGGGTTTCAGAGATAAGCCCTAAAGTCTAAAACTTTGTGTTTTAATCATCTTCTCACATTTTGCAGTGACTACTTGCAGTATTTTAACCCTTCAACACTTCTCCCTTGTGCTTGCCTTATTGTAACTTATATATCTCTGGAAACTGTTCATGGTGCTGCTTTAACCCAGCACTATCTTTTGATAGTTTCCTGCAATTTTCTTTTTAAGGTAGGCATTATTTTAATGGCTCTGTCTGTCTCTAAAATGTTTCTATAATCAAGTCATCTCCTAGAATCGGTTCAGGCTCTGAGTACCTGAGATTATTCATCTTTTTCTTTGATTTGCCAACAAACTGCAAACCTTCTAGAGCTACAGATTTGATCCTCCCAGAAGGAGAATACATCAGATGTGGGAGATTACTTATGAAAGAAGTTTTTTTTTTTTCTTCCTGAAAACAAATGCAACGTTAATGGAATCAATAAAGGGTCTTATACAATAGGCATTATATTAAACCAGAGTTCAAGCTTCATATTGATTGTGGTATTTAAATTTCAATGGGTTGATTATGTATGAGAGGAAAATGACCAGTATTATGAATGCACTCAGGACAGGGAAGGACCTTGCCAGCACAGTGAGAGGGAGAGGAGGGGGAGGGGAGG